TCGCTCATTCCCCACTTTAACATCCCAATCTGCAATACAGTTATAATGTTACTTTGGACTTCGGTACTGGATACTTCCAGAAATAACAGAAATGGGAGAGAACGCTTCCATTTGGAGCTGAAACACTGCTGCCACTCACTTAAAGAGGGTTTTTTTGATGAAGGAAAAAGACTAGCTTTATAGGAAAGTATTGATAGGGAGAAGCTCAAGATGGAGAGGAAATTAAATTAATTAAGAATTGGATATACAGAACTCTAACTTCATTCTTTCGCTATCTTTTTATCTGCTCAGACAATGTTGCTCTGGCAAGGATGCACCTATTGTATTTTTTGGTTTTTTCAATAGCCTTTTGTAGAGGTGCTCGCAGAGATCGGAGGCCACCCCTTTGCTGACAGCGGGTGACAAACAGACGAGCCAGACACCCTCTGAACACCCTCCAGCAGCAAGGACAGACTATTAACCACTGATGGATTTCAGATGTCGTCTCACGTTGACAGATAGCGGCCAGTGATGCCTAATAAGTTCTTGCTTAAATGAAGTAACTAACAAATGAGACTCTGGACTTAAATAAAAGTGTCTTTCGCTAAAGTTACTGGGGGATTTTGGGAGTGCTCACTGAAACTGATTTAGTTCCATACAATTAACACCAACAACAGTTTCTTCAGCTACCAAAATGGAAGCTGCCTTGCTTACGAGCCACTTGTCTCAATGCATTTTCTCGCAGCACACATCTAACAACGACCTTCAAGTAAAAAAACCTGCTGCTTAATGCCTGTAAAGTACGTGCCCATCACAGTAACCTCACCCGACCAAAATTTTTAGGATGCTCTTTCTAGGTTATAGACAGTCTCATGTATATGTTAACTTCCACAACTGCTTGAGCTCTACCTTTGCTTCTTTGCAACTAAGACCAGATCTAAGGAATTTAGGTTTTCCCCTCCTATTTCAAAATCTAAAAGGTATTTAGGCACCCCACCTCAATTTTTCATAGTAAGAAGGATCCAGACTTACAACCTAAATAGACTAAAAGCTTACTGAAAGAAAAATCAAGCTCATTTAAAGACAATAATCTTCAGAACCCACGTTCTGATACTGATTTCTTGTCTTTGAAGAAGAAAAAAAGGTAGGAACATCCCAATAAACCTTCAGTGTACTTTTCTTTTTACAGAATAGTTAATTATTGTACTCTTAAGACTTAGTATTTAGTTCAGATTTTTGACTAAGTTAATTTGTACAAGCAGTTCAAAGCCAGCAATTTCTTCTGCTGTGTGAATTCTTTTTCAAACTGAAAATAATGATATATAAGGAAAATACAAGGAAATAGATCTTCTTTCATATAGAAATATGTATATGCAAAACATGAGCACTGTCATATCACAGATATCTTCATTTTTTATTTGGAAACTACCACGCCTGTCATGGGGAAAAGGTTGGACATACACCAAGGATTACAAAATGCAAGAACCTTCAACTCTGAGAACCCGAATTCCTTGACTGCATGGTGAGATGCTGGTTACTGCTAGAGTTTCTCTCCCTTTTCAGTAGTGCCTTAGGAAATAATGTATAATTATTGACCTAACTTTACCTACTGAGACTACACCTCAAGGTTTTTCCTGGGGAAAGTCTCCCACTAGGGCACACCAACCTTCCTACAAGCTTTGGCTTCTTGAATTCAATCTGATCCTGTTTTCAAAGACACCTGGTCAACAGTCTGCACATTTGAAGATTAGAAAAGACAAATTTTCCATTTTAAAACCTCTATCTCTGTTACCCTCAACTTTGAAAACACATTAGCCACCTGATAATCTAACAGGGACAAGGAGACTATTCTGAAGCTGAAGGCGCTACCAGTTGCAAGACTGCTAAGCGTCTGGTGTAGGACTTTGGAGCAAGGATGACATTTTTGAGGCTTTAGGAACTGAAAGGATTTGTATGTAGGGTATCAGTCCATTTGTTTTGCCATTCAAGCTTTCTGATCTAAAGCAATTTCCACACGCCAAGAGTAGCAAAGCTTTTAGGCAGAAACAAGCATTACTCAATATTGTATTTTAATTTCCTCACTAATGGAGACATATCCAAGAAGAACTGTAATTACCAGATTTCCATCATAGTTAACAGTGGAGAGTTACGGATCTTTGATAATTTCTTCTTTTAAACACAGTAGCTTTAAAGATATCTAAGATGATTAAGAGTGTTTAATTGTGGCTAACAGCAACTCATATTTGCTATGTAATACTCTCCGAAAGACTGCAGACTTCCGCAGAACTCAGCAGAAAAATAATATGTGGTATCTCAGTACTGTAAGCCCTAGCTTGGTCTTCAATTCCAACAAGACATAAATTGTATACAAGTTAAAGCTTTTAAACTAGTCACTGTTTGGGATTTATGCATTCCAGCCAGGTCTCAGGGCTGATCAGCTTAACAGACCTTGTAGTGAAACGACTGCTGCACTGCTTCAGTCCCGTGGAAATAGTATATTCCCTAAGAAGAAAAAAAAAAAAAAGGGGGTGGTGGTGGTGGCAAGAAAACAGGACTTTTGGTTGAAGCATAAACAGCTGGTCAACACAAACCTTTCAGAAATTTACTGTACAAAACAATCATAACCTTTCTTCCCTGTAGGCCCATATTTCCCACAGAGACAAGTATCAGAATTAATAAGCCCTTCCTTTGTATACTGGAAATGTTGTCTAGCATAAGTGCAGCACATTAATTTGCTGTTCATGTTCCCTTCAATTCACACTTTTGGCTGCATTCTGCATAGCTAACAGCTTCTCCCAGCAGTTATGCATAGAAATACTCTAATAGAAGATAAATTATTCCCACTTAAAACACAGCTGCCAAAAGACGCTAGCTCCTCTTATAAAACAGGCAGTTCACAACATTTCTTCTAGAAAAAGTTGTAACAAGAAATCGTCTAAATGTACGTGAGGACAAGGGAAAAAACAGTATCCCAAAGCTAAGATTTAACTTCTGTAGGGATTCTGAGGACTACTTTTGGTACCATGCCTTAATACTGGGTTTTTAAATTGAACAAAAGAAATGGATGCTCCAACTCACTTTAAGCAGGTGCACGAGCATGGCTTTGCATTTCCATCTACCTTTTCATTCAAAAGAATGAAAACAAGTGCTGAAGTTGCTATGGGTCTACTTTGATTTCTTGACTGTATATTCCTTTCCAAACAAAGCTGAGAAAAATCCATGAAAGCACAGGCATCCTGAGCTACACCTAATATATTTTTAAGTCAGGTCTATCACAGTGTCAGCTGGTACTGTTTTTTCTAATTGTGCGTGTGTTTATTTCAGCCATAAATAGTTTTGCAGTATTAGGAAAAAAATCAATTATGCTGCTGTTTAATCTATGCCTTATCTGGAAACAGTTTCAGAATATGAGATACAAACAGGATAAAGTTCATCTTTAAAAAAAATAAAGTCGCACTGCTTCTATTTTCTGAAGAGCCTAGCTTGAAGCTGGAATGTTTCTTGCTTAGCAGTTACGTCTATCAACAACCAAGTGAAAATTCATATTAATTCAAGTTTTTAAATTAAGTGCAATTAATATAGGATAAAACCGATTCAGCAGAAGATATACTTCACTGTATACTACAGTGTATACTACACTGATATTGTACATATGTACGCAAAGCAATGGAAGTTTTCAAACAGGTGACCTCAGCAGACTGCCAGATTTTATACACGCGTGATAAAGCTCCAGAAAACCTCATATTTTGACTGGAGGCTTCAAATTGAAAGTTTGCTGAGTAGGGAGCGGGCAGTGCTCGTTTCAGAGTCACTAAGGAATTCTCTAAACACCTGAAATGATTCTGTTTGCAATGAGCCATATAAAAAGTAAATGTCCAACTTAATTGTGACCAAGCTCACTCTGTCTCTGTTCTGAAGATTTTTCTCCTGGTATGTACGATACGTACAGTCCAAACCGTCTATTTCTCACCCATGACCCTATGTAGCAGATCACCAAGAATTTCTGCCTTAATGGGCCTTAATCACACGGTTAAGAGTTGTTTCAGAGCAAACCTCTGGGCTTCAGTGCTGAGGCCAGACAGCCCTTGTAAGACTGGCAAAAAGGACGGCTTTAATTTTAGGCATTTTTCAAAGATAATGTTGGCTTTGCATCTTCACTCCTACCACTTTCTCCGTACGCAGTTCACTTCTGTCTTTATTTAGACTATTACGTACTAATGCTTGCTGGCTTCTGTTTGACAGCAAGAAGCCCTTTGATACTCGGATAGTAAATGTCACACAACTGCCTACGGGTGATGGTTGCTTGACAACACTTGCATGTCCTGCTGGAAGAAGGCATCAGATGGCACCGGAGAAGAGGAACAAGCTTGTTTAAAGTCACCTGCTCACTGAGACCTCTACGTCATGACTGCAAAATTAAATTTTACTGCCTCATTAAAGTGCTGGGAATATAGGTCAGCAAAAAAGGAAAAATAAGAAACCCCTTCTTGAATCATTCGTTTTCCTACCTCTACCCAAATCTAACAGAGCACTGCTTTAACATCAGAAAGATGGTGTTCCAGCAAACCATCTCATTTCATGTTTGTACCTGCCAAAGCTCTACTCATTTGTCATTTCAAAATTTTGTTTGTATTCTTATTTTGTTTGTATTCTTACCTATACTCACTCTTAGGCAAAATTTTATGCCAGGTCAGAGCACAGCCAGAACATGTTTTACATTCAAATAACTGCTAGTAGAGCAACTACAGCCACAAAACACAATCTGGCAGGTATGTAAAAGGAAAAGTTATTTTAAAAAATCAGTATTTTTGTACATCCAACGTTTTCTATTCCCAGACTTGCATATATACAAGTTACATGCATGTACGTGTGTGTATACATACACACACACATGCATGCAAACATATGCATGAGCCATATTAGAAGTACTTTCATATTAGAAATAATAGGTAAGCAATAAAGAGGAATTTCTAACAGTTCTTAAATCCAAGAAAAAGTGGTGAAGGAGGGAAGCGATCTGCACAGTTATAGCCATCTCCTGACACTACTGCACTGTAGCACGGACAAGCGTTCTTATAGGAGGTCTTGTAATGTTGGGCTACGTAGCAGGGAAGGGAAAGGGGAAACAAAAAGGTCTCTTGGGGA